TTGAGTACAAGCTGCTGATTACTACGTATCATCTGCTAAAAATTAAAGAAAAAAATCCATGCGGCCCTGCTGTTTAGAAACAGGGTGGTGGCGAGGAGGGGCGGGCGATGCGGGGAGCGGCTGATGCGGCCCGCTGTTTGCATGGAGCCGCCGCAGGCGCCACGCGGCGCCGCCGCTGGGCCGGCGGGGCGGGGGGCAGTCAGTGAGCCGACTGCATGCTTCATTTGTCGCATATTCGATTGCCTGCCGGCGCATTCGAATTAGGATTGCGATATGCGGTAAGCCCCTGCGGGTGATGAGCGCGAGCCGGCGCGGCGGCGCACCTCTGTCAGTCACAAGCGACTCGAGTTCATGTTATGGTTTTGCAGAAACTATCTTCTGTAAAATTATGCCAGTGACAGTTAATCAATAGGAGTTCACGGACTATGCTAGGTCAGTCAATGAACCGATTATACGGGATCGGGTATAAATTTAAAACTTTACTAAAAACGTGTTTAATTTCCGATTTACTTCCAGACTCTTTAACGAGCGGGCATGAAGTGTCCTTGTCCCTTACCAATCCGACAATTTGGTCTGACAGTAATTATACATAATCACAAGGAGCTCGGCAGAAGAAGGGTGGATGCGGGGCGAGCTAGAGTGGTTTGGGCTAGGGATGAAAGTAGATGGAATGAAGGGACAAGAACCAGGTTAAGAAGAGCGGGAGAAGAGTAGAAAAGCAAAAGAAGAGCGGAAGAAGACCAGGAGAAGAGCGGGAGAAGAGCGGGAGAAGAGCGGGAGAAGAGCGGGAGAAGAGCGGGAGAAGAGCGGGAGAAGAGCAGGACCGCGCGTTGACTGCAGGTCATTACGCGGCCTGACTTGGCGCGGGTGGTGGGAGCCGGGAGCCCCAACACGCAAATCCGCCGTCGATGACCTGAGCGGGCGTCGAAATATCAGCAGGGGAGAGCAGCGGTATAGGGCGGGGCGGGGCGCCCACTCCCCTCCTCCAGCGGCAGTCAAAATGAAGCGCGCCAAGTGCAATATCGGCCGGATCGGGGCGAATCGAATACAAAAGGTTGGGGAAAAGGAAGGGCACAGACGAGTGAGGGGATGGGGGGGGGGGGGCTTTGAGGAACCAAAAGATGCATGAAGCTTTTGGCTCATTCGCTACCAGCCCATGCCATGAAGTCGTCACAAGAGGGTGTCATCGTCCTCGATCTGGGTTAATTTGCACACGGTAAAACCCCAATAAAATTGGCCTCCCGTGCGGTTTGGTCACGGTCATAGATATTAAACAGAAAACAGTAGACCTTAAACTGTTCTGTTCAAACTTTTGCTCTACATAGTACAAAGTGTACAAAAGGATAGTTTTCTGGATGAAACTTCAAAAGAAAAGAACTTCACATGGGTAACGGTAAAAATCCAGGTTATGGAAGAGAGCTGCTCCCCTTCCAATAGGAAGGAACTCTTGTCCACAAAGAAGCAGTGAGGTACTGCTCTCGGATCTGTTCAATTCCACAGCTGCAACTGTAGGAATGTTTTTGTTCAACACATAAAACTTTAGAGCAGAAGTCTACCACCTACCACCTTACAACTGTCACTCCCTTCCCAGCTTTTGCATTCCTTACAAAGCCCGACCAAAATGACGACTACGGCGAATGCTTTAAAAACCCAAAACCCCTCCACAATGAATGGTACACGCGCTCCCCACGCCACACCGAGCACCCCTTCTTTTTCCTCCCGGCTGCTGCTACTTTTGATGCCAGTGGCGGCGGTGCCAATACGGGCGGCCGGGCCGCGCCTTGCCAGGCACACTCCCGCGCAAGTTGATCCACCCAGAGGAATGCAGGCCAGAGGCCGTTCTGCGCCGCGCGACGAGTCCACGCGGCGTTCAGGCCAATTTATTTACACGGTTTGCTCTTTTGCCGCAGCAGCAGCCTCCCTCTCTCTCTTTTTCAAAGAAGGACGATAGGAGCGAAACCAAACGGTGGCAAAGAGAGGGAGGAAAAAAAAGAGTGAAACAGGATAAAAGAGGTTCTCTTTGCCGTTTCCAAAGAGATAGATAGCGTTTGAATTCATTCCTTACATTCTGTTGTTTTCCTAGTTTTATTTGGTGCACCAATTCCTCCCAAACCTAAACCCTCCCAAACGGACACAAGTCGGCGCTATGCGGCTCTGAGTAATTTGCTTTTGCCGTGCGACTGAT